CCCGAGGCCCCCGCGGGACTGCCAGTCGGCGGGAGCGCTAGGGCTGGGCGCCGGGGCGGTTGGCGGCGCGCGCCGGGGAGGTTGAGGTGGAGGATCGCGCGATCGGCCCTCCGTAGCGGTTACCGCCGGTCGCCGAGGACAGTATCCTCCGGCGGCCTTGTCGGCCTCGGCGTCCGGGCTGTGGGACCGCGCGGTACTCTCCCGCGCCCCCTTTGCCAACGTTAGGCTTGGGGCCGAGCCCACCGCCCGCCCCCCAGCATGCGCACCTCCTACACCGTGACCCTGCCCGAGGAGCCCCCCGCTGCCCCCTTTCCCGCCCTCGCCAAGGAGCTGCGGCCGCGCTCCCCTCTCTCCCCTTCCCTGCTGCTCTCCACCTTCGTGGGGCTCCTGCTCAACAAAGCCAAGGTACGCGGGGCCCTTTTCCGGGACCCCCCCCCACCTCACCGAGGGCCTGGGATTCCGCCTCCTTCCCGGGACGCCCCCTCCCACCTACCCGGCCACCACGCGCCGTCGCCGGGGGCGGGGATGGGAGTCGGATTCTTCCCCGCCCCCACCCCTCCTTCCCTGGGTCTCCCGGAAAGGAATGCCCCCTCCCCAGGTGATCTCACGCTTACTCGTGGCCCTCTTCCCCTTACTGAGCTCCCAGTCCCTGAGCCCCCCAGACCTTTTCTGCCTTCCCGCTCCGTGACCCGGGCACCAGGTGGCTCCTAATTCCTGGCACCTATCAGGACAGGTGCAGGAAAGCGTAACCTTGACTCGTTCTGAAGCGAGGGCACGGGCAGCACGCCGGACTCTGCGGCTGTGACTCCTCCAAGGCCAAAACCCAGCAAGAAAGGCTGGTCCAAAAGGGGCTCCCCCCTCACTGATCCCAAAGGGTGCTCTACCAAAGGGGTGGGTAATAGGGGCCGGTCGATCCTGTGAAGGGCAGAGGAGTTGCAGAAGGGTGAAAGAGGGCAACTTCCTTTTCTCTCCAGCCCTCCCCGGTTCTGCTAAGTGGGTGCTGGGTCCCTCAAATGAAGTGTCCACCCCAGAGAAATTTTGCTGGCGCTAAAGCCTGGGCACTGCCCCCTTGGGGAAGGGAGAAGGGGCCAGAGCTTGACAGCTCTTATGTAACAGGCACCAGCTCCTGTGTTGGCAGTGCGTGCACTGCCCCGTGCCAAGGCCACACCAGGCTTCTTGGCTGCAGCCACCACTCGTGGCTGACCCTCACGGCACAGGTGAAGTAAGCAAGAAAGCCCTTTCCTGGGGTCTTGAGTGTGAAGGCACAGACCCCAGTCAGCCTTTCTGATCAGGTCCATGTACCCCGAAGTTCCCTCTTCCTGAGGCCCTGCTCTTTCCTTGGAAGGTGAATGTTGTCTGTTTCCTGACTGGTGGTGGCAGTCCACTTTCTAGAACAATTGTTTGCTACTCAGTCAAAATTAGGTTTGCTGATGGCTAATTTTAGGGAAGTTCTTGATCTCAAACTCTCACAGCAACTCGTAGAGTTCCAGCATACATGCGGGAGTCATTTCCTGCTCTCTGTGAGAGGTTGGCTGTGCGGGTCTCTCTCAGCTTCAGTTCCAGCTGCTGCCTGTCTGCCCTGAGGTAGGATTGTTTTCCCTGTAAGAAAGGTCACTCCTGGGACGTTTTGTTCCTCTCTGGAATGGAAAGTGCTGACTTTCCCTCGAGCTCCTGATTTCCTATTCATGGCAGAAGAATATCTGGCTGGGCAGAGAACAGCCCTGCTCTCCCCTCCACTACCTCCCCTGACTCATTACCCAACCACCTCTGCAGAATGCTTAGAAACTGCAAGTGGTTTTGAGCTCAAGAAAACTTAGACAAAGGCATCAGTCCCCAAAGTCACCTATCAAAGGGTCTTTAGCCTTGCCTAAAAGGAACCTCTCCCTCTCCCCAGGCCAGTAGGTGGGTCAGCCCTGGACGAGCACGTGTTCTTGGCCCTCTCTGGGTCAGCACCACAGGAGTGCCTCAGTGGAGCTATGCCTCCAGTTTCTCATCCTCCCACCCCCGCTTGTGCTGAGTGACTGCTTTCTCAGCTGAGGCCCACTTTGGTGCATATTGACACATTCGCCACTGACAGGAGTCTTTGCTTCTCCAGCTGTTTAGACAGATGTTTGAGGCACAGGGGGTAAGAGCTAATAAAGCACTGCCAAAAACAGGTGTGAAAGCAGGTATGGTTGGGGAGTGGCTATTCTGTTGTGGGCAGGCTGTAACGTTTAGTTCAGAATAGGCCACATGGAGACTTCCGCTGTGATTTTTTGGACCCCCAAAGGAATCCTCCAGTGCTACCTGAAAATGCTGATAGGTCTTTGTCCTGGGAGTTACCTCTGTTCCCTGTCTCCTGGAACTCCAGGGTTCAGACTATCAGTAAGGTGAGGTGAATGTGTCTTTGGAGCCACCTACAGCCAGGCCAGGCAGAGTTCTTCAAGGATGCTTTTCTCTCTAGCTGCAGGCTGAAACCGGTCTCTCTTCTGGATGTATAGTTCCCCAACTGGTAGTGACAGACCTGGTAGCTGGCAAGAAGAGATCCTCTTACCTGTGAGATAGTCAAGGCAGTTCCTGAGAAAAGTCCTTCTTCAGCCTGCCTCTCCCCACCCCGCCCCCTTAAGCTGACAACCTCTTGGGCTTTGAGCTGCTGACAGCCTCCGAGGCTGTCAGCACACGGCATGAGTAATTTTAGCTGAGTTATTTCAGGCTCCTGTTCTGATCAGGGTTGAGCTGGCCCCACGCATGCCCCAGCCAGTGTTGCTCCAGAGTTGCCTGCTCCAGGCTCCCTCCCTGGGAGGGGGTGGTGGCGGGGCTTATCTGCACACTGTCTCCTTAACCCTTTGAGCTCAAAGGTTTTCTGACTTCTTGGAGGCAGGGCTGGGATTAGCCAACAGACATGGACAGAGCACTCAAGTCCTCACCCAAGCACCTATTCTCTCCAGCCCCCTCACCAACCTCCACAATATAGACAAGAGCAAGAGTGGCACCTTGAGCAAGAGTGGCACCTCCAGCCAGGTGCTTACCTCCCGTTGGCTGTTGGCTGTAATCAGCCATCACAAGGATTCCCAGCCAGTGGCCAGTCAGGATGTTGAAACCTGAGCCAGGCAGGGAGGATTCTCCCAGGCTTTAATCAGTCCTTAGGAGCTGAGCTCAGCTGGGAGGAATTCCCACCTGTCTCTGGCAATTCAGAATGACAGACAGACTTTAGTTTTCCCAGGGGCAAATGTCTGTTAACTTTTTGCCGAACTTTTCAAGACCTCCTTGAAGTACCTATTACGGCAGCTGCTTCATATATTAGGCGTCTAGGAGGCCCAATATAGGTCATTTGAGATAGTTCCTGGATTGCAAGCTGAAATTTCCTGTAACCAGAAGTCAAACATTTCCAAGTATGTGAGTTCCATGTCTCTAATTTTAATCTCTAATTCTAGTCTCCAGTATAGTAGAGAATGAAGAGTAATGTAAAGGTGGGAGGAAGTCCATAAGCAATAAAAGAAAGCAAAGCCCTCAAGAATGTTTTTGTTATATTGAGAATGACAGGCATTCCTCAGTCCTCTCTCCTACAATGTACATAGACTAAAGCTGAAGAGAGAATAAATGGCCTGTGTGACCTGATGCTCATGGCTCCAATGGGCAGAAAGTTGTATGAGAGCCTGGCACAGACCCAGCCACCTGCGTCAGACTTAGATACCACATGTTCTTTGCTTACAGAATTCTAAGAGTGCCCAGGGTCTGGCCGGTCTTCGAAACCTTGGGAACACGGTGAGTCCTTCCCAGCCCATTCCTTTCCTGGGGTCAATCCCTACTATCCTGACTGGGACAATCTAACCAGAGCCCCTGCAGGCTCCAGCTGACTCAAACCCTCTAGGCCAGTTGGTACCTGTCTTTCCTGGCTAGTGTTTTACAGAATTGCTGGACTATGCCTCACCCCCACCCCAAGAAAGGGAGTTACCCTTCTAACTGTCAGCTGCTTTCCTGGATCCTTCTCCCCAAGGACATCCATCCCTTCCCACCCACTCAGTCCAGTTCACCCACACCCTTGTGTCCACCTCTATAATAAATAACCAGTTACGTCACCTGTACCAGCAGTGGGAATTTACCTCACTTTACCCTTTCACTTACAAAAAGAGGAACTCAAGGCTGTAGGAAGATTCATTTCTGGGGTAGATAAACCAGAGGGCCTTTGGTACTAAGTAGAGATGCCAGATAGACGTCTTTCTTCCCTTGCTAATTGTCTGGATTGTCTTTTGCAGTGCTTCATGAACTCTATTCTGCAGTGCCTGAGCAACACCCGGGAGCTGAGAGATTACTGCCTTCAAAGGCTCTATATGCGGGATCTCAGCCACAGCAGCAATGCACACACGGCCCTTGTGGAAGGTGAGGAACCCCTGCTTGGACTTGGTCCTACTTTCCCTCTGGGCCATTTCCCCACCCTGTCGCTAGAGTAGTACTAATTTTCTTTTACATGTTTGTTTCTCAGCTCTTTTCTGTTGGCATTGTAGTATCAGCTTCTTATAAAAAGTGTCTCACCTGTCCTCCACACCCCTTCCCTCCACCTTCCTTGCAATAGAGTTTGCAAAACTAATCCAGACCATATGGACTTCATCCCCCAATGATGTGGTGAGCCCATCTGAGTTCAAGACCCAGATCCAGAGATACGCACCGCGCTTCGTCGGCTATAAGTAAGGGCTTTGCAAGCAGGTCCACACCAGGTGGGTGGCGGCAGCAATAGGTTCTTGGGACAGATTTAGTGCTCATTGTCTCCTCTTTGGACCTAGTCAGCAGGATGCTCAGGAATTTCTTCGCTTTCTTCTGGATGGACTTCACAATGAGGTCAACCGGGTTACAGTGAGGCCTAAGCCCAGCCCTGAGAATCTCGATCACCTTCCGTAAGTAAGAGGATACTGCTGTAGGAAAGCAAAGTGTTGTGAACTGGAGCTTTTACTTCTATTTTTGGGTCATGATTTGGGGAGATTTTTGAATATAAAAAATTTAGATTGCGGCCCTCCCTGGTGGCGCAACGGGTTAAAGCACAGCACTGAGAATCTAAGGCCGCTTCCGCATGAGTTCGATTCCCGCCTGCCCCGGAGGTGACCACATGGCGTGGCAGACCTCTCCTGACCCGCCCGCTGCTCCCCTCAGCAGTGTGCTTTGTCGATCTGCCTGTTCTGTTCCCCTCTCTGTCTCTGGTGAAGCCTCTCGCCGCCCCTGAGCCTCTGGCCTGTACCCCAGTTCTGTATGCACAAATAAATAAATCTTAAAAAAAAAAAATTTAGATTGCTAGACCTTTAAATTATGGTTTGGGCTCTGATTCATTTGCCTTCTTTTCTCTGGTTCTTAGTGATGATGAGAAAGGGCGACAGATGTGGAGGAAATATCTAGAGCGGGAAGACAGTCGAATTGGGGGTAAGTGGATGGAGAAAAAACCTTTTTTCTCAGTTAACTATTTTGCCTGAGCAAGTCATGACAAGTTGTAAGAATTATACTCCCCGGGATCCTTCTTTCAGCCCAGAGTCCCACAAATTGAGGCAGGAACAGTGAGAAGGGACACCATGTGCTCACTTCCCTGTGCTTGAGTGTCACGTGGCCATTTTTTCCCCCAGATCTCTTTGTTGGGCAGTTAAAGAGCTCCCTGACGTGTACTGATTGTGGTTACTGCTCTACAGTCTTTGATCCCTTCTGGGACCTCTCACTGCCCATTGCTAAGGTATGCATCCCTGTTGCCCCACTTTTGAAATGCCTCCTCTTTGGTGTCATTCACCTCTCACCTTTACCTTTTTCTCTCCCAGCGAGGTTACCCTGAAGTGACTCTAATGGATTGCATGAGGCTCTTCACCAAAGAGGATGTGCTTGATGGCGATGAGAAGCCAGTAAGTCTCCGCTTCCACACAAGAGCACATGCCCAAGAGACCTCTCTTGGAACGATGTCGTCTCCAGTGATCTTACTTACTGAGTTCGGCCCGTTGACTTCTCCCCTGAGTCCTTTCTAGTTCTGTTTGTCCTGTCTTTCAGACATGCTGTCGCTGCAGAGCCAGGAAACGATGTATAAAGAAGTTCTCCATCCAGAGGTTCCCAAAGATCTTGGTGCTCCGTATCCTTCAGGTCATCAGGGCAGGGAGTTACCCTTAGAGAGGGACTGAGGACAAGGGGCCAAAAAACCAGGGGAACAGAGTAGAAAAAAGCAAGCCAGATGGCTGTTTTTCCTTTGCTTTTCTGCTTCCTAAGACGCACAGGTACCCTTAGGCTCAGTCTCCTTTATGTTGACACTGTTCGTGCTGTCCTGTCTGCCCTTGACTCACATTATTACCAGATCTGAAGCGGTTCTCAGAATCCAGGATACGAACCAGCAAGCTCACAACATTTGTGAATTTCCCACTAAGGGACCTGGACTTGAGAGAATTTGCCTCAGAAAACACCAGTGAGTATTTTTCAGCAGGAAGAGATGAAACACAAGTGTCTAAGCTACAGATGGGAGGCAAAGAGGTGGAGGAAACATGGAGGGCAAGGAAGGCCTTAGGGACTCAACCTTTGTTTCCTCCTCAGACCATGCTGTTTACAACCTGTATGCTGTGTCCAATCACTCTGGAACCACCATGGGCGGCCATTATACAGCCTACTGCCGAAGCCCAGTGACAGGCGAATGGCACACTTTCAATGACTCCAGGTGAGACAGGTCTCAGGGCTGTCACCTCTTCCTCACCCATCTGTCTGGTTTCTACCATGGCGGACCGAAAAGGTTAGAAGCTAAAACCATGTAACAGCTATAAGTCCACTGCCTATCTGAAGAATTTCTAGAAGATGATGGAAGAGATTGGCCTTGGGAGTCCGATAGAGGTAGAGACAGGTAGAGACACTGTCAGCTACTCTGCTGAGTCCGATGGCCTCCCCATGACCAGAGCTCTGACCTTTCCCTGCTCTCTCCACAGCGTCACACCCATGTCCTCCAGCCAAGTGCGCACCAGCGACGCCTATTTGCTCTTCTACGAATTGGCCAGTCCACCCTCCCGCATGTAGCAGCGAGGAGCGACAGCCCTTTCTTCTCCCGTCCCTGTGGTGGCCTCACACCCCAAGTTTTTCTAAAAAGACAAAAAAAAAACCAAAAAACAAAAAAAAAAACCTGACAAATAAGAGAAAAATAAAATAAACTAACGCTGCCGAGCCGGAGTTGCTGCAGCCTGGTCAGGGCCCGAGTTGGGAGCCGGGTGCTCCTGAGCCAGCTTGGCCAGGAAGATCGAGAGGACACGGAGACAGAGACCGAGCCAGCACAGTGCCCCTCAGCGTCTCTTGTTTGCATTTAAGCTTGTGGTTTCTTCCTGTGTGTAACAAACAGCTACGTCTGTGGGGAGAAGATCTGTGTCACTTGCTGCGGGCTCCAGTCCCTGCTCCTCCTGAGAAGACAGCGCCCTCTGGAGCCTGCTGGGAGGATCGCTGCCCGAAAGCACTGGTGCCTGAGCCAGGCACCCCATCTTCACCTGGACCCTGCTCACAGGTCCAGAAGCAAGAAAACACCCATGAGCCAAGAGCCCTCTTAACGCTGCTAACTCCAGGGGGACAGACGAGGGGACATCTTTGAAAAAAAAAGCTGTTTTGGTTTTTAAAAGCCCAACTTTTTTTTTAGTTACCATAACTAAAGTTTTCAGACTGGAGATGCTCTCCTTCACACCTCTTCACAGCTGGGACATTGTGCTGGTCTTGTCTTTTTTTTTTCTTTAATTCTTCAACGACAACTTTTCCAATGCTAGCCCCCAGTGGTGCTAGGTGGATATTGGCCAGGCCCCAAGCACAGCACAGTAGACCTGAGATACAAGTTTTTCGTTTTTGGTTTTTTTAGCGTTTTGGATGGAATCTAGTTGCCTCCAAGAATTGTGCCTTATAGCATTTGGGGACCATGGGCTAACTGCCCCTCCCTGAAATGTCCCTCAGCCTCTTCCCTTTTCCCCAGTGCCATGTTCACACCGGCTGGGGAAGAGCGGGGCATGCCCTGAGCCTCTAGCTTACTTGCACTGCAGTGAGGCGACGAGGAGAGTAGGTCAAAGATTTCTCATGATAGTGTATCGAGTTCTTCCGCCCACTTCCTCTACCAACCCCAGTCTACTTCCCAGCTGTTTGAAGGATAGCACAAGCCCCTCACCCCTAGAGCTTCTCACCTTTAATTTATTTCCCCCTAAGCTTTTCTCCCTGCCTGGCCCCACACTCCCTTCTCAGAGCCTCCTAGACATGTAGGCCCTTTGGACCGAGTTTCTCAGGGATGCCCATGCCGCCCCTCAGCTCCTCTGGGCATTGGTCGTCAGGGCTGCCTGGGAGCAGAAGCCTGGGTGAGGACATTTTGCCTCAGCTGTATGATTCTTTCCCAGGAGCTTGACTTTGTCCTAAGTGGTCGGACAAATCTCTGCTGTCCCAGAGAGTAAAGCTATTCAACACAAAGCATGGAACTCTTCAGCACCCACAAAGCTGGCCTGGCTGTGCCCCTCGAGCCTGGAGCTTTCCAAGTGCTCCCAGGAGGAGGCAGCAGAGAAAGACACCCAAGTTTAACTGGCCTGACACCCTTCTCCAAGGGAGACCTGTGAACCTGAGCCAAAGGGCCGGTGTACACTTGTTTACTGTGTAAGCAAGAGCAGAAGAATGGCTAATGTACAGCAGAACCTTGTACAGAATAAATAATAGCTTTGAGAAATTAGTGATGGAATCTTGATTTGGGAGGGGTTTGAACCCAGAAAGCCCTGACACACATTAATCGTAATAATCACGTATTTGCTTTGACCAGATTATCAATTTCAAATTAAAAGTTACACAATTTTAAAACTTTCTGTAGAGATGAAATGGTACACATTTAGAACCTCATTTTTCATCTGCCTTCACTGTTTACTAGTGTTTTGCCAACCAGTACTTTGTACTTGATTAGGGAGGCAAAGCATTGAGGAATGAGGTGTCATATCACCACTTGTAAATGCCTCATCATCCACCTCCTGAGAAAACGGTTCTAAAACCAGACCTCTGACTTGACACCTAAGGTCAGCATAGCTAGCAGGCCTTTAAAAGGACTGTCTGCTTTGTAATTGCTGACCTGGGCACTGCTGTGGTTCTCAGCTCACACCTGGGCCTGTACAGACCTACAGACCTATGACAAGCTGGCACAGGCCCCCAACTGAGGCAGCAGTTTGCTCTTTAAGCAGCGTGTGCCTGGGTATGAGGGATCCAGGTGTGGTCTTTGATAAGTAAAACCTCACCTGGCCCACAAAAACCTAGATTGACCTTTACATGAAAGGTTTTGTTACCTAAAGCGCTTTATACAAGACTTCAACAGATTTAACCCCTTATAGACTGTCCCTGTGGTTTTATCTTTGCATTTTTAGTACTGTATAGATTTTCCATCATTGCCATTGATCTTAGAACTTGGGAAGGCAAAGTGTGTACCAGCTGAGCTTAGAGTATTTTACTAGGATTTTTTCTACTTGGCACCCCTGCCCCAGACTCAAAGGTCAAGGCCTGTGTATCCTGACCCTTCCCTGACAGCAAAGCCTGCAGTCAGACTTGCCTCATGGGGTGAGGCAGACATGGGGCCATTTTTTTTCTGCCTATTTCCCAAGAATGGGAAAGGGTAACAACCCCAGATTTCTCCCTGACCTTTCCTAAAAGTGGCCTGACCCAGGATAGGAGCTTAATGCTAGGTTTTCTCTAAACTACTGGTGAACAAGATTGCCTTCAATATGGAAACAGTAAGTTAATGCAAAGTAGATGGGGGTGCCCCAAATAAATGAGTTGCTATACCTCACATTAGGGGGGAACTATATCTCCCCTTTGACTAGTTTTTTACTGGAGGCACAAGTCAGCCATACATCCCTGCGCTATAGTAACATCCGGGCAGGACTCAGCCCACTCCACCAGATCCCAGTTCTCCCTGCAGTACTTAACCTGTGGTGCTTTCCCATCCCCATGACAACAGGTAATGGTGCTATACAGATCCCAAACACAATCTGTCCCATGTTTCTTTATCCCTCAGCTTTGCTTCCTAGCAACTAGGATTGCTTCCTGCATTCTTTACTCACATTCCAGCAGGCCTCTCCCTGGGGGAGGTGCTCCCCCTGCAACTGCTGTCCTGTGACCTTGAACAAGAACCACCCTCTCTCTGAACCTTACTGCCTCATCTGTGATTTGACAGATTTGAGAGAAAATAAAAAGCGTTGGATTAAAGGATCTTGAAGGCCTCAGCTCAGACGTTCTCCTTCTAAGTCACTTTTCCTCTAAATAGCTAATCAAGGGGACTTACATGTGACTGGTCCCCTTGATACATAAATTTACAAATACACTGATGTGCAATTATACAAATATATGTGACAAATGATACATAATTTTATGTGACTTTTAAGTGACCAGTGCTTAGAAAATGAATATTCTGTCCACAAAGCTTTAGAATTAGAACCACAGAGGTCCCTTCACTCACATTTCTCAATTTGCCAGTGAGGAAACGAGTACTCAAGAAGACCTGCTCAAAAGCCCACCATTTTGTCAGTGGCAGAGACAGAACAGAAGCCTGTCTCCCCACCCTGACCTCCCTCCATCTGAGTACTCTACCGTTGTTGAAGAACAAGCAACATTTTGTAAGGTTTGCTGTAGTACATTTTCCAATCCTGAACAGAACTTCCTGACTACATACACACACCCCCAAGAGCAAACCCAGCATGACCTCGCTCCTACCTGGGTCCTAGCAGAGACTTCTGCGGGCCTCATCCTCAGCGCTGGGTAGGAGGCAGACGGCAGCAGAGACTAGCTTTTGTAATCCAAGCAAATGACTCACTCTGAACCTCAGATTCCACCTCTGTATCTAACCATAGCAATACCTTGTCTTCCATGCAGCATATTGGTTTCCCCCACCTCAGTCCATTCCCTTAGGATTCTCTCAGAGGGGGTATCCACAGACACACCACTCCCCAGCCTCTCAGGACACAGCTGCCATTTCCCCAAACACAATAAAAGCTGAGGAACAGAGTACACATAGCATTGCCCAAAACAGGCAGAACTACTGAGTCACTGGACATCCCAAGCCAAGGAAGGGGTTGCTTTTCTGACTCCTGGCCTGTGGCAGGACCTGTCTCTTGGAGACAGCAGGAGGGCCCCAATCCTTCAGCGCTCTCCAAGCCAACACAGGTTCTTGAGATGACCTGTAGCCCTTCAGGCTCCTAGAGGCTAGAGAAGACCAGGAACCTGGGGGTGACTGTCAATGCTAGGAGAGGCAGAGAACAAAGAGAAAGGAAGGGATATTCTTGACAGCTGTGGGAAAAAATAAGTGTCTAGGCCCAGTGCCTACTTATAATGTGGGCCCTGGGAGCCAGGCAGAAGAGGCACTCCAGATCAGAGCGCGAGTGTGAACCAGAGAGGTGGGGTGGCCGCAGCATGTTTCAGGGACTATGAAGAGCTGGTCCAGCTAGAGAACCGCAAGAAGACAGGGTGAGGCTGTAGCCAACCTCACATTGGCTTGCCCTACCTCACACAGAAGGGCCACAGAGCACCCAGGAGAGGGGTCAGCACAGGGGAGTCCCAGGGATCTGTGCTTTCAGGAATAAAAGCCCAAGTCCAGTGAAGCTGCCAGGGGGCTAGAGACCACCAGAGCAAGATCAGAGGGCATAGAGTAATTTGCCAGTTTCATCCATAGTAACAGCAGGCAAGGCCAAGCAAACACCTCTGCAGCAGCAAAGGAAGGGAGAGGGGGAAGGGGGTGAGGAGATCATGTCTACTACAGGCAGAGGGAGTGGGGAGACCCTGTGGGAAGGACAGGCAAGAAGGTCAAAGCCCGGGGCCTGTGAGAAGGGGAAAAGCAAGTCCAAGAAGCAGTCAAGACAAAAACAAGCAGCCTAGGGCTCCATCAGCCTAAAACTCCCCGGACCTTCAGCAGCCAGGTCCCTGCCTCTCCACATCTGGACTCCAGCAAAGGCCTCCATCTGGTGTCTTGGCTCTCAACCCCTCTGCCTGCCTTTTTATTCAAAGGTTTATAGAAAGAACTTGGAAAATGTAAAAGAAAGGAAGGGGGGAAAGGACAAAGTTGAAAACTTTGGAATCCATCAGCCTCAGCTCTGAAAGGCAGCCTGCTCCTTGCCACCTGTTTGACTTGGCCACACTCACATCCGGAGAATGGGAACAAAAACTCGTGCCTGACCTCCCCACCCAGGTCTGTGATAGTGAGTCGAGGGTGCAACACGCTTTTTCACTCTTGTCATTTTACTCACTCCTCTCCTCCAACCTGGCCCCTCTGAGAGTGGCTTCCCTCCTTTCCTGGGGAAAACTTTCATGAGCAGCCAGGGCACAGTCAAAGAAGGCCAACAGCAACACAAGTCAGAGAAAAGCTTCCTGTTCTCACAGCCTCCCCTGGCCTCCTCTCCAGTCCTCCTACAAATAGGGATTGTCCTAAAACCCAGCTCTGACTAAGGCAGTCCCTGTTCTAGTGGGGTCCAGCCCCAACTCCCTAGACCTACAGTGCTAAGCCTCCTTCTTCTGGAATTCCCTACCTACCCCCAAGTTCTACCTATTAAAATTGTTTTCAACTCTCAAACTTTAGATAAAAGCCAGCTTTTCGGGCCCTCCCTGGTGGCACAGCGGGTTAAAGCACTGCACTAAGAGGCTGAGGCCACTTCAGCATGAGTTCGATCCCCGCCTGCCCCAGAGGTGACCCACATGGCGCGGCAGACCTCTCCTGACCCGCCCGCTGCTCCCCTCAGCAGTGTACTTCATCGATCTGCCTTTTCTGCTCCCCACTCTGTCTCTGGTGAAGCCTCTCACCGTCCCTGCACCTCTGGCCTGTACCCTAGTTCTGTATGGACAAATAAATAAATCTTTAAAAAAAAAAAAAGCCAGCTTTTCTAAGTTTCCCCATGTTCCCACCATTGAGGCACTCACCGCTGTGTCTGCTCACCCAGCACTTGATCTCTGGCCTCATAACCCAGTGAACTGTCTCCATGTCTGTGCCCTAAACCAGCAGCTTTCAAAGGAGCCCTTATTATTGAGAAACCCCAGGGTACTTTTGTTTATATGGCTTATATCTATCAATATTTACCACATTAAAATTAGAACTGAAAGTTATTTAAATATTTTCCTATTAAATTTTAAATAGTAAGTGTTCAAGTAATAATAAACCTTTACATAAAAACAAAAATAACAAGTTTTAAAACTATACTTTCAGAAAAAAAATAGCGAGAAAGGAAGCATTATTTTGCACGTTTGCAAATCTCATCAGCACTTAATAGAAAACAGCTGGATTCTCATCACCTGTATTTGATCTATTAATATATGAGAAGACATCATGCAGCCTCTGGAAAACCGCCCTGTACATTCACAAATGAGTGGGGGAAACAAGTATGTCTCAGTGTTATTATGGAAATACTTTCGACCCCTCTAAAAGCTGTTCACATTTGAGGATCCTAAGAAAGACAAAATCAGCTCAGGGCGCCCAAAGGTGGGAATGGGGAAGAATCTGTGGATGAGGGACTCTCTTGAGTTCCAGGAGAGCTGCCTTAGCATCACAGAATTTGTCTGCTTTCTCTCTTCCTACTGTTCCTCACTTTGTTCCCGTCTGCCTCAACCCCAGTATAGAATGAAAGAGGTGTGTCATACAAAACATGCCTCTGATTTTTTCCTGTGTTAGGTTCAACTCCTGTCTGTGTATCTTATTAGCTGTGTGGCCCTGGGGAGACAACTTAACCTCTCTGAGCCTTAGTGACATTATTTGTAAAATGGGCATGGAGTAATTAAGAGAGAGAGACTGCATGGAAGACCTCTTGCCCAGGGCCTAATACATCACAGACATGCTATAAATGCCGGCCAGAGACACACTGTACTGCCTCCCCAACACCCGCCCTGAGAATAGCTAACACAAAATAGATTAACTATCCCTTTTCTTTCTCCCTGAGGACAACTGGGCCAGGCTGGGATTTTCCACGTTCACTACTGGAGAAAAAGGCATGAAGTGATCTAGTTTGCAGAGTGAAGGTTTCCTATGAGGCAAAAGCAGATGGCACCACCGGCCAAATCCACTGACCCAGCCTGTCCAAGGCCAAGGTCATCTCTCCTGCTCCTCCATCCTTGCTCGTGTGGACTAAGGGATGCCAGGAATAGGGAGCCCACCCCCACCAGTCCCCCACTCACATCAGCACAGCATAAGCAACCCAAATACATAATGCTCTTCCTATACTCATTTATAGGAAGTATCCTGGTCACCCAGGGGCCTTAACAGGGAAGTCCCAAAGTCCCAGGCTTGGGCTGCTAGTTCAGGGACCTTAGGACTCCTAGACCTGGAAGTGGCCAAATGAACCTTATACCAGCTTCATGCTCACAACATCAGCAAAGCAGCCCCTTTGATCCCCCCACCCCCAGTCCCAACACCCTTCAGGCAGGTGCTCAATAGATGGGTGAGGAAAGGGTGTGGCCAGCTCCCTTGGCAAACCTCCCCCACCCCCCCCACCCTTCGTGTGCACACACACAGAGCACCCAGATTTCTCCTAGGAAGGCTCTCAACCACTTCCTGTGCCTTTAAGGACGGCTGCCCTGTGCCAGGGGCTTGACCTCAGCATCCTCAGCTGAGTCAGATTAAGGGACCATTCCATGCCTTTTCGAATTCTTCTGGCTACGGTCCTTCCCCCAACACAGAGGCGGGGCAGTAGCTCAACCAGTCCATGAGGCAGTCCCAGAGCTAGTCTAGTCTGGCAGCTGTCTTCCTAGGGGAACAGAAGCTGCCCTTGAATAGAGTTTGGGTTCAGAGAGTGGGCTCCTGGGGGTCTTGGGCTGTGGCAGAAAAGGCAGAAAGTCATGCAGAGCCTTTAAGCCATGAAGGATCACTCAAATAGCATCCTCTGTGTGGAGGCAGCAGAGCTGAGCAAGGTAAGGGCCCAATGGGACCCCTCTCACTCACCCAACTTCCTGCCTGAGGCTGGCGGTGCCCACTGGACACCCTGCCGGGCCAGGATGCACGCTGCCCTCAGCCCTCAGCCCTCAGGTCTCTCCCTGTAGACGGAGTTCTGCAATCCTGCTTTTGAGCCTGAATCAGGGCCACATTGCCCCCTGTCAGCCTTCCAGGAGGAGGCCAGCTGTGGCACCAGCGCTCCCTGGCAGGGTAACCATGGTGGGGGGCTGCTAAGGGTAGGACAAAGAGCTGAAGGCTAGGGGTGGGCAGGTAGGAAAGGGGCTCTCAAAATCCCGCTGGGTCCCTGCAGGCCAGCGTCCCCGAAGGCTGCGGACTGACTGCCGCTTCTCCTGGCTGTGCGTCCTGCTGCTGGCTGTTCTGCTACTCCTGCTGCTTGGGCTGCTGGTGGCCATCATCCTGGCCCGTGAGTGCCAGCCTTGCTGGGGAGAAGCCTTCACAATGAGGCCTTATGTGCCCTTTGTTCCTCCACCCTCAGGGACCCAGCTCCTCTAAAGCCCATTCCCCCATTGCTCTGCCTCCAGAATTACAGGCTACACCTTCAGCTGGGGCCTCCTCCCACCTACTGCCCAGCCAAGGCCTCACCACCACGAGTGCCATCCCCACCCATGGCATCACTGCCACCATCACCTCTCAGGCAACTGGGACTCCTAAAAGGCCTCAGGAAGCAGGCATGAGCCCCACATCTCAGCCCAGTGAGTACTGGAGATGAGCCCAAAGTGAAAGGGGAGGCGGGGGGCGGGGGAGCAAAGAAGTTACACCTTGTAAAATGATAGTTCTCTCTCCTTTTGACTTCTGAACTAACCTCCATTTCTGCAGCCTGTGGGGGCCTCCTTCCTGGCCCCATGGGCTTCTTCAGCAGCCCCAACTACCCGGACCCTTATCCACCTAACGTCCATTGCGTTTGGCATATCAAGGTGGCCACAGACCAAGCCATTCAGCTCAGAATTGACGCTCTCAACATAGAGAATGTAGCCTCCTGTCTTTTCGATCGCTTGGAAATCTCCCCGGTGCCTGAAGGCCCCCTTCTCCGGTGGGTCCCTCTTCCCCCAGGAGATCTGACCCCTGTGCTGATACCATCCAGAGAGCAGAACCAGGGAGCTATAGTGGGAAAGGTTTGGCTAGGAGGAAAGGAAACTTGGCCTCTGGGCCCAGCTTGGCCACCGACCTTGCTCTGTGACCTTAGAAGGTCATTTCCCTCTCACCTTGGTTTCCAAATCCATGAACTGGAGCACGTAGCTATCTTTCCCATGAGTAAATACTACAAAGACAGACATGCAGGTGCTGGGGAGGTCATAGCTGCCTGGGAAGCGGAAGGAACATCTTTGCCCAGTGGTTGCCAGATCAGGGCTTGTGGGAAGAGGACTGCAAGTCCAGGCAGCTCGTCTCTGGCTGACCCAACCTGTGTCCCTCCATCACCCCCCAACCCGGCTTCCTGCAGAGTGTGCGGGAAGGTGCCTCCCCCCACACTCAACACCAATGCCAGCCACCTCCGGATGGCCTTCGTCTCTGACAACAGTGTGGAGGGATTTGGCTTTCATGCCTGGTACCAGACTGTGGCTCCTGGGCACGGTGAGTATTTTCCCCCCACGCCCCAGGCTACCTATCACATGTCCATTTCCCTCCCCTCTAGCCCCTCCCAGTAACAGCAGAAGGGGTGGAGAGGTCTCTGAACACAGATGCCACCCCCCAGGAAGCTGTGCCCCCGATGAGTTTCCCTGTGACCAGCTCGTGTGCCTGTTACCTGAATCAGTGTGCGATGGTTTTGCCAATTGTGCTGACGGCAGTGACGAGGCCAACTGCAGTGCCAAGTTCTCGGGTACGGGATCCACGTGCACAGGGAGGGAGGGAGCTGTCTTCAGGCACCTTGTCCAGGTTCAGGCTGGACTCCTCACCTCTGTCCCAGCCCCAGAGCCGTCTGGCTGATAATCAGTCTCCCCGGGGGAACTGGCCAGGACTTCTCTCTGCAGTCACTGCTAGCCTTGCTGGTGAAAGCAGAGATCCTGGCAAACTCATGAGCCGTCATCCTTCCTCCACAGGGTGTGGGGGGAATCTGACTGGGCTCCAGGGCACTTTCTCTGCCCCCAGATATCTGCAGAGGTACCCTCACCAACAGGTAAGAGCTCCATGAGAGGAGTGCCTAAGCCCCAGGGTCTGTGTGATGGCAAACAGCCTGGTAGGTGCGAGAGTCAGGGGTCCAGTTGGTAGCAGGTGACATTATCAAGTACCCACTGTGTGCCCAGATGTTCCCTTACTGGGTGAAGTTACCTCTTCGACCAGACAAAAGCCCTTCCTATCTCAAGAAACATGGCTGATGAAAGCTAGCTGGGCCACCCCTCCCTGCCTATCAGGGAGTGGGGAGGAGGCTCCTAGGAAGCTCAGCCTGGAGACCCAGGTTGGAACAGGAGAAGGAAGCCATGAGCCACTCCATCTGCACCCCGCCCGCCTTGCCCTCGCCAGCTATGCACCTGGCATATCTCAGTGCCTGCCGGACATGGCCTGGAACTACAGTTCCACAACTTCAGCCTAGAAGCCCAGGATGAATGCAAGTTTAACTACGTGGAGGTGTACGAGACCAGTAACTCCGGGGCCCTGATCCTCCTGGGCAGGTATGGCAGGGGCCCGGATGAAGTCCCTTCTCCACAGTTTGGTCAACAACAGTACATTAGCCCAACTCAGTCCCTAGCTTCATTTTCTTCTGCTCTTCCAAACCAAGGTGTCTTTACTGTCCTAAAAAAGACTGTCCTGCCTACTTCAAAATCTGTTCCTGACAAAACCCTCCTCTGGGGGGGGGGCAGGGGACCCTTTCCCAGTCCTCTCCCACCCCAGTTCTTCCCACCCTGCAGGCTTTATTTCCCTTTCCCACCAACTCCCCCCCATCTCCAATGTTTCTCAATGAGACCAACTTGAAACTCAAGTTCAAGCAGTTTGTTTAATACTTGGCTGAATACGTGTCTCCTCACCAGACTGTAAGTTCCATGAGTCAGTGACTAAGCCTCCCCTCCCCTCTGGCATTGCCCAGAGCACCCAGTTAAGAGTGAGGCTTGAAGAGCCCCCCCGCAGGACTGCTCTCTGCTTCAAACAGGTTCTGCGGAGCACAGCCACCACACCGCCTCACCTCCTGGAGACCCCAGCTGGCTGTGCTCTTTAGGACTGACCGTGGCACCAGCAGCGGGGGCTTCTCGGCCACCTACCGGGCCCTCAATGCCACAGAGAGTAGGTGCCCCTGGGCAAGTGGGTGTAGGCCACAGAAGTGCCTCCAGAAAACGAGAGCGGGATGCTAGACCCCACTCAGTAATGTGAAGGCAGTGGGATGTCCAAGCGTGCCCAAGGGCACTGCCATCCCATGCCATGCCATGCCCGCCCTCACCCTGTGCCTACAGACCCCTGTGGGCCCAGAGTGTTTTCCTGCCAGGACAGACGGTGTCAGAATCTGCAGTGGATGTGTGACACATGGAGGGACTGTGCAAGCAGCAGTGATGACAACTGCAGTAGCTCCCTGTTCCCAACCCCAGGTGAGAAGCCTGCCCCAGGTCACCCGGACACGGCAGTACTTAGTGTCAGCCCCAAGGGAAATGGGAATCCGGGATCATGGTAGGGCTTCAAGGCTAGTCCAGCTTTGCTGACATAGAGCCCCTCACCAGACCCTCCTCAGATGGCCCAGGGTCACTGCCAATGCTGGAGTCCATGCTCCCTGAGATGATCAGAGGTGCCACATGAGTCCAGGACTGGCCAGTGAGGCTTGGAGTGGGCCCTGGAGGAAGGTTCAACCCATGGGAAGCATCACTCCATGTTCCTCCCACTGCCCCCCAGAACCCCCCACCCACATAGACACATAAGGTGACTTGGCCAAGATCACATGGTCAGGGAGTGACCCAATCCTCTCCCCACTCCCCGCAGAGCTGGCCTGCGAGCCCATCCGGGTGGAGATGTGCATCGGCCTGAGCTACAACACCACAGCCTTCCCTAACATCTGGGTGGGCATGGCCAGCCAGGAGGAGGTGGTGGAGGTTCTCGGAGGTTACAAGGTGCTCTGGGTAGAGACAGGAGGCACCCCCAGGAAGGAGTGGGACCAGGAAGGGTGCCTGAGAGCTGATCTCCTCCTTCCACAGAGTCTGACAAGTCTGCCCTGCTACCAGAATTTCCGGAGGCTGCTTTGTGGGCTGCTGGTGCCCCAATGCACCCCGATCGGCAGTGTTCTCCCCCCTTGTCGCTCAGTCTGTCAGGAGGCAGAACACCAATGCCAGGGTGGCCTGACCCTAATGGGCACTCCCTGGCCCTTCAACTGCAACAGGCTGCCTGAGGCGTCTGGTCTGGAGGCTTGTGCCCAGCCCTGACCCTGAAGCCACGCCTGCCCTGTCTCCCACCCTCCTTTGCGTGTCAGGGTGGGCAGGATGGGGAACAGAGGAGGGGGCAGCGCCCGCTGTGCCCACCCCCTCTGGGCCTCATAGGGAAGCAGACCTCAAGTGCTAATGGAACTATCCCACCCCCCAACCCCCACCCAGCTCCTTCCCTGCAGAGGGGCTGGCCAGGCTCCACTGTACCGCTGATAATCTACAAACTTCCCATCCAAGTCTGACCCAGATTTCCTATTTTCTGCCTCTGCCTCTCGATCTCTTTCAGATCCTCTGTCATCCCCACCCCTTTCTGATTTCATTTATTCTACAAAAACTTATGAAGTGCCTGGTATTGTGCAGGCCCTGTCTAAACCTCGGGGATCCACTAAAACTTTTCACCCTCTCTTCTGGGCTAGTCCCTGGTACTAGTCAGTGGCATCCTTGGTGCCTGCCGCTGCAGCTCTCCTAGGATCAGCAGTGCGCTGAGCGTCAGCTCCCAGTTCTGCCTCTTGGTGCCGGCTCCCTCCCAGCTCAAGTCTCTCCCCCCCTTTCCCCTCCCCAAACTTTGGCCAGCTGCCTGGCGACACCACGAGTTATTTCCCTGCTATTTCCCGGCCCGAGCTCTTGGCCCCCGAACAACTGGTTTCCTTTGGGGAGTCTGGGAGGAGCAGAGCGGGAGTCTACCGAGAGGAGCTGGACCAGGGGAGGGGCGAGGGCGGGGGGCGGGGGGCTGAGCAGCGCAGTGGCCACAGACACGGCCAACTGGAGGGTCCAGAGCAGCCAGCACGCGGCAGGAAGAAAGAGAAGAGAAATCAAGAAGGGTTGTGAGTCTAACGGAGCAGCGTAAAAGGGGAAAGGGAATGGGAGGGGACCGCGGGGAAGACTGGGCACCAGCAGACTGGCGTGATGGGGGGAGGGAGGGGCTGCCTCTCCCTTCCTGCTCCATTGTGCTGTCAGGGTTCTGGGGTCTGGGGGTGCCGCCTTCCTCAACACCCCTGTGGCCGCGCAGCCTGGGGGTAAGGCAGTGGGTGGTGACCGACGTGGCTGCACTGGGTGGGGAGCAAGGCAATAACAGGATTCTGGGTCCGACTCTATCCTGCCTGGCCCACAGACTGCCAGAGGACCCCATCGTCCAATCTGCGGGTGCCAGCGCCATGAGGCCGTTCCTCACCCTGCTACTTCTGGGCCTGGCAGCCAGTTCGCCCCCCCTGGACGACAACAAGATCCCCAGCCTGTGTCCCGGGCACCCCGGCCTTCCAGGCACTCCGGGCCACCATGGCAGCCAGGGTCTGCCGGGCCGGGACGGCCGCGACGGCCGCGACGGCGCACCCGGGTCTCCGGGCGAGAAAGGCGAGGGCGGGAGGCCGGGTAAGAAGGCACCTCGGTGGCCGTCGCAGGGACTTCGGTCAAAGCCAGCACCGCCCCAGCTTGGCTTTTCCGTGGTCCCGGGCCCGCGGGCTCGGGGTGTCCACAAGGGGGCGCTGCTCTCGCCCCTCGGGCTCCCAGGCCCTGGGAACAGCGGAAAGAAGACAGCAGACAGCCGCTGGGAACAGCTGTAACCCTCTTTGATCACCCGGGCAGATCTGCGGGGCCTGAAGGGCTGACTGGTGCTGAGGAAAGCACCAACCTAGGATGTGGCAGCTGGGCGGGTTAGGGAGGTTGGGGGAGGGTTCTCACTTCCCGTCCCCACACTCCGCTGCAGGACATGCCACTACATTCGCCCTAACTGCTCTCCTTGCCCCCCTGCAGGACTCCCAGGGCCCCGTGGGGAGCCCGGGCCTCGAGGAGAGGCAGGACCAGTGGGGGCAATCGGGCCTGCCGGGGAATGCTCCGTACCCCCACGCTCTGCCTTCAGTGCCAAGCGCTCCGAGAGCCGGGTGCCGCCGCAGTCTGACGCACCCCTACCCTTCGACCGCGTGCTGGTGAATGAGCAGGGACATTACGATGCCGCAACGGGCAAGTTCACTTGCCAGGTGCCAGGGGTCTACTACTTCGCGGTCCACGCCACGGTCTACCGGGCCAGCCTGCAGTTTGATCTGGTCAAGAATGGCCAGTCCATTGCCTCTTTCTTTCAGTTTTTTGGGGGGTGGCCCAAGCCAACCTCTCTCTCTGGGGGTGCCATGGTGAGGCTGGAACCAGAGGACCAGGTGTGGGTACAGGTGGGTGTGGGAGATTACATTGGCATTTATGCCAGCATCAAGACAGACAGCACATTCTCCGGATTTCTGGTATATTCTGACTGGCATAACTCCCCTGTCTTTGCTTGACACGCACTGGAAAGTGAGCTCTGCTCTCACCGGTAGGGGAGAAGGGCAAGACATTGACAGTCACATCATCTGGGAGGGCTGGCTCCCCTGGAATGTTGTGAATAACTACAGAAGCAGGGTGGGGCCCCTCCACCCTGCTGCTACAGGGAACAGGACAGAGACTGACTGAGAGTGGGGCTGGCAGCATGGGGCAGTGGCTGGATTTCTGCCCGAGACCAAAGGAGCGCACTGTGCTGGGAGCTGTGGGTCTCCAGTTACCTCAGTCCAGGATCCCAAAGAAGGGTGCTCTCTTCCTGTCTGCTTGCTTCTCTGGGTCTCCCTTTGTCCCTTCTGTTCTTGGGTCCTTTCTCAGAGATCAGTGAATAAATGTAAAAACCCTCCTACTGGATTAGCCTTTCTTCTAACAAAGTAGCTATCTTGAGAGGGGGTGAAAGGGGGCTCAGAGCGGGAGACAAGGAGGGAGGATTCTTGGGCTGGCTGGAGCTAAGGAGCAGACCCAGGTGAATGACAGTGCTCAACAGAGCTGTCACCTAAGTTATGTAGGTTGTGAAGAGCTGAAGAAGGCACCCCTCTGGCCTGAGGCTCTGGCGAGGAGGAGCATCTAACTCAGATGTCCTATGAACTGGGGCAGGTATCTTCACCACACAAACCTCTGACTTTATCCACAAAAGGAAGCCCAGGATTTTCATTCATGACTGCCCTGGCTGTTAGCCTGGTCCCTCCATGACCACAAAGCTGTTTCTCTGTTCCCCACGCCAGAGGAGTGACGCGTCCTGGGTGTCTAGAGAAGTCGGTTCTTAGATGACCACCAGCGGGCGCCCCAGCTCCGAAATGCTGCAATGACCGCTAGCTAGGGCACCTGACTGTTGGCTTATAGGAGGGATGGTATTGAGGTTCACCAGAGGAATTCAGATGGGGGTGGAGGAAAAGGGGGTCTTTTGCCTCCAGCTCAGGAAGATTATATTCTCTCATAATGATGTTTATACTCCTCTTGCTCAGCTCCCTCTGCAGGGCTGGGGGAAGGGGAAAAAAAACCCTCTGGCCTCCCACCTCCTACATACATGTGAGGGAACTTTCCCCAACTGTGCTGGGCAGAGCCTGGGTGGGCTGCGCCACCAAGTCTGAGGCCAGCCACAAAGTCTCTTCAAGACTCCCCTCCTCTGTCCACTCCCACTCCAGTGACTAATAAATCAGAGCCTGTCATCCCATAATCAGCTCAGCCTCCCCCGAGAAAGTGAAGGAGCCTTTCATTTTCTTCCAGACCTTCCCCTTCCCCTCTTAGCCACCCCCCTCAAGGCAATACCAGGCATTTGGCTTCTTGATTTAACATACAATTATGGGGGGGTGTCCCCCATCTCTCTTGCTGGTCACATGGGCACAAATATGACCAAAGGGGCCAGATTAAGTGAGCCAGAGACAGGCCTAGGTGTCACAGGCCTCAGCATGCCGCTCTCCACCAGGAGAGTCTGCAGCCGTGCTCCCGCCCATCAAAACATTATTCTACACCCAGAAACAGACAAGCACCACTCCTCCAGGGATCAGAGAATTACACTGCTGGGCAGCAGGAACCCCAAGTTCCCTCCTGGGAAGAGTGGCACCAGAAGAGGGAAGCCTCACTCAGAGGTAAGAAAGTTCAGTCCTCTCCACGAGGACTCAATTCTAACAAAAACTGAAAAATCAGGGAGGGCTTTCCAGAAGCCATGTAAGAGACTACAAATTGGAGGGGGTGAAAGCTAATCATGCCAAACCTGGAGTGGCTCTCCCCACGACTCAGGACTCACTCCCACCCTATCTTCCTCTTCCCCTGCTAAGGACCCCCAGCAGGGCTGAAGGACCCCGCCCCAGCATCAGTTCCTTGACCAACTGTTCCCCTTTGCCAGGATGCACACAGAGGCTGTCAGAGCTGTGAAGGGAACTTTATTCACCAGGAACTGGGCCAGACTGACCCATCAGGGAGTCCATGTCCCCAGGTCCTGGCCCCTTTTGTTTGGACCCTAGTGAAATGGGCACGGTCTGCCCTCTCCACTGCTGGAGAGACAAACAGAAAGGGAATGCCATTTTTCTCTGTGATGTGGGGAGTGAAAGGGGTGTAAGTAGAAATCTGGTTATCCCTCCTGAGGCTCCCATTTGTACTGGAGAGCCAGAGGGTACATGGTCCCAACGTCAAGCACAGGCCCCTCCCCACTCCACCCACACCCCCTCACCCCAGGGAAAACTCTTGATCCCAGCTGTTGTACAGGTTGGGAGAGAGGCTCATAAGATCAGGCAGAGTGGTAGTTCTAAGGGCACCTGAGAGATCCTACCCGCCAAGTCTACCAGGGCACAGGGGCTCCACTTAAAACAAAGGTTCAAGGTCATCCCAAAGCCCATGAGTTGCCAAAACACCCAAATGACTCTGATGTGTGGTGGCTGCAAAAGCTGGGAAGGAAGTGAGAAGGAGCCAGGGAGAGGCCCTGCAAATCCCCAACAGAAAAACTAGAAGCAGAGAGGGGGTGCCCCAGAGGCTGGCGTCTGGAGGGGGGCCCTGGCAGGTTGAAGGAGAGTCCACAGTGAACAGTCTCAGGGCCTTGCATAGTGACACACTCACCACCCTTGGCATCACAGGGCTCCAGAGGGTAAGAAGCTGTTTCCTTGCCCCCACTCAGGTCAATATTCTTCCCGGGTATCCCATCTCAATGTCCCGGATGTATGGCTTGGAGGTGGCCTGACAGTCATGGGGCAGGAAAGGATTCAGTCCAGGACCTGGAGAGCAGGTGTTAATGCTGTCCTAGTACAGGTGGCTGTGGGGAGCGTAGAGGGCTGGGCAGGCAGGAAGGGAATCTTCAGAGGTAGACATTGAGCGTCTGCAGGATGCTCCTGCGGCAGAGTGGGCAGTTGCGGTGGTAGATGGGGTGGCGCATCAGGATTTCCGTGCAGGCCTGGCACAGGCATAGGTGCCTACAGGGTAAAAGCAGCACCGTCTTGCTCTGGTCCTGGCAGATGACACACTTTTTCCGCTCTTCTTGCTCCTTCAGCAACTTCCATGGGTCTTGTCCAGGGGTAGGCTCCTCCTCATTTAAACTCTCCCGACCACGGGAAGATGTTGTTCTGGCCATCCTGATCTCCTCCTCTCCTGTCTCCAATCCTGGCATCACCTCTGGAAGAGTGTCCTGTCGCCAGGTCCTGGCAGAAGGCACCCTTCTAGGCCCACCCTGGGGAGCCCCAGGTGCAGGTACCCCTGTCCAGTTTTGCCAACTTGCCAGCTGCAGGCTGCGGCTCCAGACTCGACGCCAGGCCTCCAAGTCCAGTGCCAGACGAGACAGTCGCACAACATCCTCTCGGAGCCGATGGTAAGATGGTCCAGCATAGAGCTGACCAAATGCCCGGGTGGCTAGCCTCAGGGTGAGGTCTGGGTGCAACACAGACACTGTCACCAACAGCACACAGGCCAGCAGCACCAGGCCAGTGAGATTGACAAGCACAAAGCTGGCTAGGAGGCGGGCAGCTGAGGCCAGGAGCTCCAGAGCCAGCTGGCAGGGGGTCCAAAGGAGGATGGCCATGGCCACAGCACTGCTGGAAATGTGTGCTAGGAAGGCAGCCACCACATCTGTCATTCTCCACAGTGGCCCCATCACTGCATCCCACAGGACCAGCACCAGGGAGAAGAGGTTCTGAGTGCCAATGAGACAGATGTTGACCAGGCTGTTGATTACATAGGCCACCAGACTCATGGCAATGGCACAAATGTCACAGGCCTGCCGCAGCAAAGCATGGCCACTGGAGACCACATTGAAGACTCCCCGGTGCAGTATCTCCCGGCCCCGCAGAGCCCCATGAGAGGCCAAGTGTCCCAGGAGCTTTAGGCTCTCCAGGCCAGAGCAGCAGCTGTATAGCAGGGTACACAAGGCTTGCAATCCCCCAAAGGTGAACCGGACCAAGGCTTCAATCAAGGCCAACAATGAAAGAAGGACTCCGCGGCCCAAGTGCAGCAGACTAGTCAGTACCGTGTGTGGCAGGTTGTAGATGAAGGCCAGGAGCCAGGCCAGGGTAGCCAGCAGGGAGGACACCAGCAGGAAGTTGAGATCCAACACCAAGGTCAGCACGTCCAGCACCAGGCCGACCCCATTCACTACCAGGTATACAGCCTCCATGATAGGGCTATGGAGGTTAGTCCAAAAGAAGTCTAGCTCCGGGTTAAGAGGTGTATCAAGGTTGTCAATATCTTGGGGAGTCGGGGATTGATTTGGAATGGAAGTGAACAGTCTCTGACCCTGGGACTCTGAGGAAGAAGAACGTTGGAGGGAAATTACGGTCTCAGTGGAGATAAAGGGGGCCAGGTGCCCGTCCAAGAGTCCCGGTTTTCAAGGCGAGCTGTTTAGGAGGGAGGAGGTCAAACATCTCTGAACTGGAGGTGCGCGCGGGATGGAGAGACCTCAGGTTTGGAGACCAGGTGGTGGCGTACCACGGCCAGGCAATGGGTCTGGCCCGGAGAAGACCGGGAACTGGTGGTTTCGGGCCGGGGCCGGGTGGGGGCAGCGCAGGCTGGGCGCGGGCTCGCGGTCCAGCTATGCAGACGCCCGGTCCCCGCCCGGCCCCCGTCCTCTAGGCTCGCGGGCCTTTGCGCCCAAAGGCAGTAGGAAAAATAATCAGCCGCAGCGAACGCCAGACGCGGCCTTCACTCCGCTGGGCGCCGCCATCTTGAGTGCGAAGGGGTGGGGCAAGAGGCGTAACAAGGTGGGCGGGGTGATAAATTCCGACCAATCGGTGAGGACGAACCTCAGGCGATGTCGAGCAGTCATTGGTCTGTTTGAACGGCGCCCAACTATTTACCTCCCAAAGAGAGTGACAGAGACTGATTGGAAATCCCCGCCCCTCTAAAGCGGCGATTGGTCAGCTGACAGACAGAGGCGGACTCTATCTACCGTTCCCGCCCCCTAAAGGAACAGGACTTTTGAATGGCGCTAAATAAGGGCCCTATTCTTGGTTCAGTACCGGCTGGGAGCCTATGCCTCTGAGCTGGACTCTGGGATTGTGCCGCCCTGGCAACTTCATAAAACTCGCTGCTTGGTCTTCCTTCTACTAATTCATTTATTTATTATTGGATGCCCTACCAAAAATGTTTAAGAAGGTGCCAGTTCTCAAGCAGTTCACAAGGGAAAACAGATTGTTACGGGGAATTTCCAAACTGTTTCCTCATTCTCCGTCAGATTTTCTGAGCATCCTCAGGAGATTACTTCTTTGTACCTAAAAAAAAAAAAGACACAGGACGGAAAGCGCTCACTCTCCTAAGAGTGTTCATTTTTCACTTAAACACTAGTTAAATGTCTGGCAGTTCCCTGTTCCTTGAGAAGTTAGGTTTCTCGTTAATATTCAAATAACTAAACTGTATTTGAGACCTCATCCCAAACTGGAAGGACTGTTCTCTACTAAAGCCAAAGATACTTGCTCATCTTATCCTTCTCCTGGGGACCATTGCTTTAATTTCATGCTTATAGTGAACTCTTGATCTTCACTTTGGCCTGGATTATTGAAAATCTCGGTCCCCTCTCACTTCCCCCGGAACACAGCCTGAATTCATACCCCCAAGCAACCATTGATGTAAAGCTCAAGTATATAGAACACTTTTATTGAGATATTAGGGTCCCTGTAGGGCTTCTACTATAGCAGGGTAAGGATTGCAGTTTCTAAAATTCCTCTGGAATTTCCCCAGTCTCCCTCCCACTACTGTAAGGCCAACTTAATATTTTCTTTTCTTTTTTTTATTCATACATACAAGAACTGGGGTGTAGGCCAGAGGTGCAGGGGGTAAGAGGATTCACTTGAGACAGAGTGGGGAGCAGGACAGATGGATCTATTGAAATACACTGAAGGGAGCAGAAGTAGAAAAGGAGAGGTCTGCTGAGCCATATGGGTCACCTCCCTGGCTGGCTGTATCTCCACATGCTCCCACCATTTTGTGTTTTCAGTGTTTTGGATTTTATCCACTTTAACAGGTATATAGTAGTATCTTACTATTGTTTTAATTGGCAATTCCCCAATAACAAATCAGGTTAACATCTTTTCATGAAGTTATTTGCCATCTGTCTGTCCTCTTTGGGAAGGTATCTGTTCAGGTCTTTGATTCGTTTTATATTAGGTTGTTTTCTTGTTGAGTTTCAAGAGTTCTTCATTTTAGATAACAGTTCTTAATCAGATATGTATTTTGCAAATTTTTCTTCCACTCTGTCTTGTCTTTTCAGTCTCCATTAAACAGTGTCTTTCACAGAACAGAAGTTTTTAACTTTAAGGAAGTCCAGTTTATCAACTTCTTCACTTATGGAATACGCCAGAAAGTCTCTGCCAAATGCAGTCGGATTTTCTCCTATGTTATCTGGAAGTTTTACAGCTTTGCATTCTACACTTAGGTCTATGATATTGCATTAACTTTTGTGAAACACATAAGGTCCATGTCTAATTCTTTAGTATATGAAAACTCAGTAGTTGTTTTACTTTTAAGAGAATTAAGTTCCTTAATTTTTTTTTTTTAAGATTTATTTATTTGTGCATACAGAACTGGGGCTCAGGGGTGGCGAGAGGCTTCACCAGAGACAGAGTGGGGAACAGAACAGGCAGATCGACGAAGTACCTTGCTGAGGGGAGCAGCGGGTGGGTCAGGAGAGGTCTGCCTCACCATGTGGATCTCCTCCGTGGCAGGCGGGGATCGAACTCATGCGGAAGTGGCTTAAGTTTCTTTGTGCTGTGCTTTAACCCGCTGCGTCACCTAGTAGGGCCTATACTTCAGTTCTTTTAAGTTTTGAGAAATGTCAGCTGTATGTACTATTCTATTATCCTATTAAGAGATGAAGCTTGATTATTATAAGATGCAACATTGCAATGGGGCTTGTAGAAATTGTTTCTGTTTGTGGTGTTCATGGTTAATAGAGGTTTAATTCATATTCCTTTCACCAGTGTTACTGGTGCATTGTCATCTTAAGATTTATTTTTATCATGAGTGTGCTTAACAAGATTAAAATACCTTGTTTGCATTTTAAAATTGTATTGGTTTTTCTCCCATGACTGCCTTTTCTTTTGTTTTTTTTTTTTAACTTTCTGTTGATAGTATTACTTTGTGCTCTGGTTTTGGGGGTATGTGTTATTTTTCCATATTTCACTGCTTCTTAACCTATATTCTTATTCTCTAAAATGTAATTTTTATGACTTCTATACACTCGATCCATGAGCGTAAATGCCACCTCTGACATACAAGCTAATTTGGATTTGTCCATTTTAGATCACATTGTTAATGAGACATATAAACAGAAATATTCATTACAGTTGAAAACTTTGTGAACATGTTTATTGAAACAGGTGACATATGTCAGAAACACATCTTCTGAGCAAGAAGAAGTAGTGGAAGCATTAAGAGAAGAAATAAGAATGATGAGCCATCTGAATCATCCAAACATCATTAGGATGTTGGGAGCCACATGTGAGAAGAGCAATTATAATCTCTTCATTGAATGGATGGCAGGTGTGTTCAATCAAATAATAGCACATGGGTTTAACTTACCAACTGAAGATAAGAAAAGCAAATTGAAAGTTTTTATTAAATATCTTGGGTTTCTAAATGCTAATCACCCCTAACATAGTAGTATAAACTGTAGCATAGTATACACTATATAGTGTGTGTGTGTGTACACATGCTATACTATGTACTACACAGTATATTGTACATGTATACATACACACAGTATATATACAGTATACCATACACTTTTAAGCTTTTTTTTTTTTTAAGATTTATTTATTTATTCATACAGAACTGGGGTATAGGCCAGAGATGTGGAAGGTGAGAGGATTCACCAGAGACAGAGTGGGGAGCAGAACAGACAGATGATCAAAGTACACTGAGGGGAGCAGCGGGTGGGTCAGGAGAGGTCTGCCTCGCCATGTGGATCTCCTCCATGGCAGGTGGGGATCAAACTCATGCAGAAGTGGCTTAAGCT